GTAACAGTGTTGTGCCTGTTTGTAGCGTTAGCGTATTTCTTCTTCTACTACTTCTTCTTCTTCTTCTTCTTTTGTCTTTATTGGCGAATCGCTTCCCCTTGGAGCATAATTCGCCACCTACTGTTGATTTATTAAATGTTCATATTAAATCCTTGTCCTCAGACCAGTGTTTTTGAGGAACTTGAAGATCAGCTTGTTTGCTTAATTTCGTGATTTACTTTCGTATATTGACTTGAAATCCATGTTGTTTGACATCAACAAAAAATAAGACAAACAACTACAGATAGCACCACACGTGATGGTTACTTGTTATTATTTAGGGCTGTATGGATCAGGTTTTTGCCAAAGCGAGCCCTTTTACTAGAATAATAATATGTTATGTATTATGTCAACCATATTGGTACAATGAGCGACATCTCGTGACGGATTTTGGAACATTGATTTGATTTTTCTCATGGCAGTTAGACTCTAGAGACAAACCAGGGGACTTTATTTTTATTTTTAATCTGTGTCTGTTCATTTGGTATAGTATTTGATCCAATATTACATTTGATTTATATATTAGTCACTTTCTTATGAAATGCCAGGTTTTAGGCCTTGATTTGAACATTCAATCCCGAAAATAAAAAATCAACCAGATTAATGTTTATTTAATCTTGACTTGACTAGAGGTAAGTAAATCTGTATAGGAAGACGAGTTAAGGGATAGAGGAGAAAAGCTTATGGTATAATTACAGAGCCTGTCCTTTTATAAATTGAGGAAATCAATGTTAGTATGTTAAACAAAGTTCGGCCATCTAATAATGTACTATCTAATATTAAAGATCAGAGGAAAAGAGCAGAACGACAGAGGTAAATCCAGAATAACAAATAAAGAAGCAAAGAGATTGAAGAGCAGTGAGAAGGAAAAAAGCTTGGTGTGTCAATTCATTACATTGCCAGTATTTTTCGTTGTTGTGAAAAAAAATAACCCCCTCGGATTTTTTAACAGCCCCCTCAGTCATTTCTTCCTGGAGCCGGGCCTGTTGTGGGTGTAGTTTGATTAGTACTGAGTCCAACAATATCAACCTCATTAAGAACTTCTGGCAAAACATATCCCTCATTTATCCCTCATCAAAGATAGCAGAAAACATGCATTATTGTACTCAGTCAGGAGGAGAGTTTGACTGAGGATCACTCAAAAAGTACACAATAAAAGTACTCTAAATAGTATTTATCAATCTTCAACCTCCAAACTGTTTTAATAAAGTTTTGAAGAAAAAACAGAGCTCGAGAACGGGAAATACGACCGCAGTGTCAATTCAACAGTAACAAACTATACTCATACTTTATAAGATCATGGCTGACAGTGCAAGATAGACAGGCAGATAGACAGATCGTGAGACAGACAGACAGACAGACAGACCGACCGACATACACACACACACGCACACACACACGCACGCACGCACACACACACACACACACACACACACACACACACACACACACACACACACACACACACACACGGGGGCAGACTGTCTTCTGTATGTTTTGCATGTAGGCATATTCAATATATTTGTGTTAACACGCCCCATCTAAAGGCAAATATTATGAACCTTTATTTTGAAGAGTACAGCGCAAACTAGCCAATCAGAAGCAAGGAGCGTTGGAGACCCACCCTTATGTGGAAACGAATCGAAACATTGAGTGGTATAGTTGTTTTAACCATGGATGTATGGTTTTAACAGTAAGAACAGAAAAACGAAAACACCACCTGAATTTCCGTTTGTTTTGGGGCAAAATTGGAAAAACAAACCGTCAAAACATGCAACATTCGTCGTCAATGACATTCAATCTGCCTAACACGTGATGTGGGAGGCAGGCCGCAGGCAAAGCAAGTTATATTACAGTGAAACGTAAGTGAAAGTATAATTGTACTATAGAGAAGTCGTTGTTGTGCTAGAGCAGCAAGTAGATATTTCTAAGAATAAATAATCATGTATTTAATCTTAAAGATATTGAGTTTCTTGTATCTTTGTGCAGGTAAGTTATTTTCTTTCGCTTCTTTTACATATTTTGGCTTGTTAATTAGCCCATAAAACATGATTGAAATGACTATACTACTACGAAGTACTGTACTGTAGCCTACTAATTGTATTTTACCATATTACACATTACTAATATATAATATTAACAGTAAACTAAACTGTGCTATACATTCTTCTACTTCAGTATGTCTTGTTCACTTTTAGTTCAAATTCATTCTCTAAGAAACAATATTTTATTTACATTTTGTTAAATGTTAAGTTAAAATGGCAATTGATTTGTTTGTTAAAAAAGCACTTAATACATTTGACAAATCATACAATGTCCATACGTCTCATCTCGTCCTGAGCATGTCCTGTGGTTTGACATCACTTTTCCTAATGTTAACTAACTGTAATTATTATGTGCATGTTAAAACATTGCACAATTTAACTATCAAAAAGAAAGCAGACATTTTCATCAGGTTTTTTTTTCATGTTTCAGTATATTTCCACTAGAGTGAGTGATAAAAGATGGCACATGTGAATAATCGAATAAAAAAACAGCTGTAAAAAATAATCATATGCAGAATTGTAATGATCCTTCTGAAAGAGTACTTCTTAAACTTTAAACATACCTGATTTGTACTTTAAATCAATAATAGTTAAATATTTAAATGCTATCATAGTGACATTTCACACCGCAGGACAAATTGTGGCTGAAGCTATAAGAAAAGCTTAAAAAATAGTGAAATTATACAAAAAATCCACGGAGCACTAGCAGTTTAAAAGACTTCAGCATTTGAACATTAGGATTTCATACAATTGTAATCATCATTAGAACTTTGTTTTAAAAAATACTGTGTCACCCTTATTTGTCAACTACCCACTACCAGTATAGTATATTTTGACTGAAGAAATCAGACTTTTTGACTGCCTGAAATACGTGTATGTTGTGAATCGTTGCCAATTCTGCTAAGGTTAAACCTAATTTCAAGCGTTCCATTTTGAACTTTAGTTTCGGTGTTTTGGACAGCAAGGACTAAAAATCCCTAGTTAAACCTGTTAACAGGCAATTGTTTCATCTATCCATCCATCCATCCTCTCCCACTTATCCGTGGTCGGGTCGCGGAGGTAGCAGTTCCAGCAGAGAGCCCCAAACTTTATTTTCCCTGGCCACATCAACCAGCTCTGACTGGCACAGAACTCCAGTAACAAACCACCACTCCGGTTCAGATCAGGGGGGCCGTTCCTCCCAATCAAGCCCCTCCAAGTGTCTCCATCATTGCCCACATGTGCGTTGAAGTCTCCCAGCAAGATTAAAGAGTCCCCTTCAGGATCCTCATACAGGACTCTTTCCAGGGTCTCCAAGAAGGCTGTATACTCTGAACTGCTGTTGGGTGCATAAGCACACACAACAGTCAGAGTTTCCCCCCCCATAACGACCCTCTCGTCTACTGGGGTAAACTCCAACAAAGAAGCACCCAACCGGGGGATTGTGAGTATCCTCACATCTTGGGCAACTCCGGAGAAGAAAAGAGTCCAACCCCTATACAGAAGTAAGGTTCCAGAGCCGACGCTCTGCGTAGAGGTGAGCCCAACCAGATCCAACTGGTAACGCTCCACCTCCCGCACAAGCTCTGGCTCCTTCCCTTGGCTTTCACTGCCACCCTTCTGGCAGCGCACCCGACCCCATCGCTGTTTCCCGTGGGACGGAGAAGCGGAGGTGTTGCCTTTTCGGGCTGTGCCCGGCCGTGCTCCGTGGCAAGCCCGGCCACCAGACGCTCGCCGACGAGTCCTCCTTCTGGGCCTGGCTCCAGAAGGGCACCCCGAGCTTCCTCCGGGCCGGGTATCCTCACTCCTTGTGTCTTCTTTCATGAGGTATTTGAACCAATCTTAGTCTGGCCCCTTGCCTGAGAACAATTTGCCATGGGAGACCCTACCAGGAACACAAGGTTCCAGACAACACAGCCCCCAGGTTCATCAGGGCACACAAACCTCTCTACCACGGTAAGGTGCTGGTTCTTCAGAGAGGGCATTTCGTGAATTAAAATATGTATTATTGCAGCTTTAATGATGAACTGTGATTAAACATATTTATGTTTCCCAGGTACTTTGAAGTGACAGATGGTTTTGAACACCTACCGCAGGCTTTCCAACGGGTGTTAAATGCCACGGTCCTGCTGAACTCCAAGGTCAAGCTGATCAATCAAACAGGCGGCAGTAACGTGACAGTAACGTACCAGGACCGGGGCAACACAGGTTCCCTGATCAGCATGACAGCGGACTATGTCCTAGTTACCACCACAGCAAAGGCTGCCATCTTCATTGACTTCCAGCCTCCTCTCTCCGGGGACAAGACGGAGGCCCTGCGCTCGGTTCATTACACCAGCTCCACCAAGGTGGTCCTCAGCTTCAGGGAGCGCTTCTGGGAGAAAGAGGGCATCAGAGGAGGGAAGAGTGTCACGGACCAGCCTTCTCGCTTCATCTACTACCCAAGCCACAGCTTCCCCGGCACCGCCGCAGGGGCCCTCCTGGCGTCCTACACCTGCTCCGACGACTCCACCCTCTTCCAAGGGATGAGCGAGGAGGATCTCATGGCTGTGGTCTTGGAAGACCTGGTGAAGATCCACGGAGAGGACATCAGGCCTCTGTGGACAGGGGGGCTGGTGAAGAAGTGGGGCTTGGATCCTTACAGTTTGGGAGCCTTCGCTTTGTTCACACCCTACCAGGGACACTACGCCAGAGAACTGTTCCAGAGTGAGGGCCGCATGCACTTTGCAGGAGAACACACAGCTGTGCCGCATGGCTGGATAGAGACTGCCATGAAGTCTGCACTCAGGGCAGCTAGAAATATCAATGGCCTAACAGTTTAGTTTTATGTGTTGCATATATTTAGCTTACATTTCTTCCTTAATGATCAATCCTATAGGATGTGCCTGTTGTGTTGGTTAAGCAGTATAACTTAAACACTGATGTATAAGTGTGTATCCACCTGATATGATGTCAGGTACATTTGAGGTACATCTTTTGATCAGCAGTATAAGGTCTTTCTATTGGCAAGTCCAACATTTGCATGAATACGGTTAAATTATTATCCTGTACAAGGCTTTAGACTGCAACTAACGGAACGTGGTGGAACTGCATTTTTAGTGGTGAATGTTGGGATTTGAAACAAAACTACTTGGTTAGATTGAAGCAGGTTTCGAAATATAGCATGGTTTTGGTTAAAATAAGTATGTTCTTTGGGTCCCTTAAGTTATGTATATGTTAAGTTTATTATTGTATTATCTAAAAATAATAACTATGGCCATCTGAGTTTGGTGGGGCTTTACTAATGCATGGTCTATCTATGTTGTGTTTTAGAGAATATTTAATCATTTTATTACTGAATTAGAGCTGAAAGTTAACTCTGTTTTCAGTCAACTTTTAAATTGTCTAACTCAAATATCAAAATAAAAAAAGTCAGTGAAATGTTCAATTTCCCCCCGAAACAAATAGTTTTAAATGCACGAAAGTCAAAGAGCAGATGTTTGGCATGTTGTTTGAACGGTGAGTCAAGGATTCATTTGTTTATTTATTTTCTAATTAATTGAAATAGCAAAATTTGCATTTGTTCTGGAAAACCTTAACAATAATCAATTTTTTTAAATGTTTTCTTTCATTTACTGTAAGCTACTTTGTATACTGTATTTCAGTTACTTTGTTTTACTTTAGGCTGAAGAAATTAAAGCATTTTTTTGAATAAAGTACTTTAAATGAAATGTGCTTTGAGAAAATGTGTACATATCCAAGATAAAGCGGATGACTTCTGAGATATCTTATAGGTATAACATGACAGTCCAATTGTGTAGATTATATGTTAATATCATGGAAACGTATAAACAGACTATTGATTAGATATTAGATCGATTTCCCATGAAGGCTTCAGATAATAGTTAAAACAAGTTGTTATGTAAATTCATACAGCAATGGTTTTCTACTGAATGAATACACTTAAAGATCTGCTCAAATGGTAATTACGCTTTTTGTTTTATGCTAACACATTTCTAACCCACTGTGTTGCTATGCATGACACGGGCCCTTTGTTAACCCTTTAGGAGGGTATAACACTAACACAAGGTTACAAAACAAACAGTGTAATGTTTAGCTATTTAACGCATGCATTAATGTGTTTCATAACTTACTGTTGCTAAATGTGAGTAATTATATACTGTGTTTTATGATATTAGATGAAGTTTTATTGCAACAATAACAAAGCCATATGACATAACTTTTTTTCTGTCAATATTTGGTATTCTCTTAACAGTAAATCTAACAAAGCCGACATCTAATGCACAAGTACTGCAGCAGCAAGAGATTCTAGACTGCATACTGTTGGGTACTTTTCATATCGTACTGGCCCATGTTGTTTTTCTTTGTATTATAAAGCATTATATACTTTACTGTATTAATTAGCAACATGTACTTATAGTTGTATTCTGTCAGGGTAACTCCAACATGCAATATTCATGAATGCCTTGATGCGTTTCACAATTTATTTATCATTTAATAAACATGTATATGAAAACAATGTTGTTGTGGGTGTTTATTTCTGAAAAAAGAAAAACATCTCATACGTTTTATATCCTTGTACAATGATATTACTTTTGCTCCTCTGAAGTGAAAAATCCAACTTGACACTGAACCAAGATCTGTTAACACAGTTTCGATTGGGACACTGAAATCTGTTCAATTTCGTTAATGACATAAGGACCATAAACATGTCACACGACATGACCTCATTTCAAACGGGTACATCTTGCAGCTACAGCCATTCAGTTTCCATGTAATCTTCCAGAAGCAGCATTCGAAAGAATATGCAGTAAAAAACATGTCTTCTTCACACTAAATATTTTATTGATGTCATTAGACAGTCCGACTGGCATCTTAAGTCCATTATTAATGAGCACCCTTCTGCACCATCTGTGTGAAGCGGTTGGTGATGGTCAGGGTGGTGTCAATGAATCGCTCCACACAGCTCACCAGGCACGTCTCCGTCCGGTTGTCCAGCTTGGAGCCTGGACTGTCCACACACTTGTCCCAGCAGACGTCAGTGAAGGTGTGCACCTGAAAGAAATATAAAAAAGTAGTTCAACAGCTGATATGAACTATAAGGGGGGCAGCTGTGGCTCAGGGGAGGGTCTACCAATTGGAGGTTCAGTGGTTTGATCCCCATAGCCTTCAGTCAACATGTCAAAGTGACCTCAGTCAAGACAAATTGCTCCCTTACGCTTTGGCTACGTGTATGCAGATTGTTATACAGGAGCGAGTTAGTCTGATACAAAGAGTTCAGAAGGATGGTCTTGTTGTGTACCATCACTACTTTGAACAGCACTTAAGGCATCAAGAAGACATCCTTCATTATGGCAGACCAGATTTTTTACTGGGTCATTATTATTATTTGTTAAAGGGGGGCTTAACACCTAGCCCGTATGAAACAAACTCTGGTGTGTTTGCCTTTTTGGTGAATTCTTTGAGCTATGTAAATATATAAAAATAGCTATTACATTAGGTATCAAAAAAATATCATTTTAGAATAGTCTTACTGTGTGGGATATGGTTTAAGCAGGGATAATTCATTGCAAAATTAGGCTATGCTGGCTCTTTGACTGGTTGTAAATCACTTGATAACATAACAATGTCATGTATATTCAGTCATATTCAAAGCAGACATGTTCTTACTGTGGTCCTTACAGTAGCTTTACAGTTGTGTTAGCCGTTCATTCATTCGTTCACCCATGTCAAACTGAATTTCAAAACTCTATTACTCTAGTCATTTTGAAATGATATTATCTTTAATATTTGACGCTTGCTAAGCGATGGGACCCGAAGAAAGGAAACCTTGAATTGTAATACGTGTTAAGAGAAGTACTTTTCCTAACAGAGAGTTGCCCTGATGCATGTGGCCTCCCCGTCACAGATGAACTGGTTAGCATGGTTAGCATACACACCTGGGCCTGGAACTGCGCCTTCTGCTGCTCTATCGCGATCATACGCTGCAGCTCCGCCGCCTCGGCTTTGTCCGACGCATTGAAATTTTCAAAATTGTCCATTACGTTTTCAAATAGTTACAGGACGAGGTCTGTATTCCTGTTGACAAGAAGCTTCTGAGAAGAGGTGACCTTCGGTTTCACCTTAAGTGAGCGCTGCTGCGTGTCTGACACCACTGATCTACAAACCATGGGATGCGCTACACAGAGTGGCGCCTGTCACTACCCGATCCGTCCCCCTGCCCGATCGGTACTGCGCATGTGCGAGATGGAGAACTCACGACAGCAACCCAGGAAGGACATTTAACAACTCTTTTTATTGGGTTTTTTTATTTGGGGTTAAGTACATTGTCAGAATAAGTGAGAAATGAATTTAACTTCTGTTAGACAGCTATCATACTGAATAAATATTTACTGTGAATGTATGCAAACATGTATGGCATATGGCTGTCTAACAGAAGTTAAATCCATTTGTTACTTATTCTGACAATGTACTTAACCCCAAATAAAAGAACCCCATAACAAGAGTTGTTAAATAACAGTGAAGTCACGTTGTAATAACAATAACTCATCTCTCTCTCGTTTTATTTTTCAGCTTTGCCAAAAGCCAAGGTGTCAAGTGTCCTTCCTGGGTTGCCGTCGTGAGTTCTCTAATATGGCGGACCATCTCGCACATGCGCAGTACCGATCGGGCAGGGGGACGGATCGGGTAGTGACAGCGCCTGCTTTCTGAGTCGGTTATGGCTAGAAAGGATCCGTCTTGTGTAAAACTCTCGCGAGAGTTTCACTGAATGTCACATGGCTGAATGTTTACGTTTGGAAGGCAGCCTTTCAGTTACGATCGTTAACATCAGTGGGCCACAGCAAATGATGATGAGAAGCTAAACTATCTATTAATTATGTCAATTACAGGGAGTGTGATTGTTGAAATAGGGTGTTAGCGGTCTTGCTGGTGTTCAAAGAAGAATGAAAACACTGTAGATCACCAACACTATGGTTTATTTTTTATTCACAGGCAAGTCAACGTTGCCGCACTAAAAGTCCCAAGATAGCTCCTGGTGCAATAAAATGTTCCCTTGCAGTGTTTTACTATTATGTCTGATGTTTCTCTATTAATATT